CATAGTCAAACATGATGGATCATGCAAAGAGTATTAAGAAACTGAATTGTAAGTAACAGGTAATATGAGTAAATTAAACCTAATGGAATCTTAATAGAAGCAAATTTGTTTCCTATTGGATTTTCCAGTACTTTTGCTGGTAGCTAACATGCTCATAGGGAAAAAGAAATCTAGTTTAAAACTTTATGAACAGGAAAAAATGTACAAATATATGAGAATAGAAAATATGCATCCATCTGTTTGAAAAGATATAGAAATACCACATGGAGATTCTGCATGTGCAAAGCTAACTAGAACAGTTCTCCATCCTGGAGATAAACAGATACAGTAAAATGTGTTAAGTGATAAAAGAGGACTTAGGAGTTCAGGGAAGCCATGCTGGGGAGACAATGACAAATTTAAATCTTAAAGAATGTGTGAAACTATAAGAACGCACAATATGAAATTTATAATATAAGAGCATGAAGTATTTGGGAAATTCATAACGAAAACAATATTAAAGAATAGATGAAAGTACAGGCATAGATTATTATGTGTCATTTTCTCCTCCTATATAAAGAAAATCTAAACTTGTGGCAGAGACAAAAGCTTATCTCATGTCTAGATGCTGGTGCGCTCACCTCTTAAATACTTACAATATTTAAGTGTCGTCAGAGATATCTAGAGGCAGGAGGGTTGGCAAGAATGTAGTTGTTGCTGAAATTGTACACAGTATAGAGTAATCAAAAGTTATCCCAAAGAAAGGGCTAGTAAAAATCATTCCTTCTGTGACTTTCTACAGTTGACTATTGAACCATTCTGAGAAAGCGCCTAAATAGAGAGTTTTGCCCAGACTCCCAATGTAGACTTATTACAGTAAAGATACTTTATGTATGATATATTCACCAGTTCAGTGACATTTCACCCTATAAATTTCCTCATTTAATATGTCTCATTAACGCAGATACAGGACTCCTGAGCAATTTTCTAAGGATTCTTGTAGTCAAAAATAAATATTTGAACATTTCATTCTCTGTAATAACATTACCAAGTCATAAGAGTGTGGCCTGGTCAAATGATATTACCAAACACATCCAGCCTTTCCCAGTGAATTCTCAAAGATCCTTTTGGAATAAATCTCTACAAATTGTCATTTCTCCCAAACACTGAATTCTAACACCGAGAAAATTGCTAACACTTTATAAAATAAGAAATAATGTAGTTCAGATGTGAAATAAATCATTTCAAACATCAAATTTGATATATCTCTTAGCTTATTGTTCTTTTGGGGGTCAGGTGAGTTGTTTAATATCATTGAAACATTTCAAGAAATAAGCAGGATTCTTTTAGATTTGCAGATAAGTATTTGAAATTGCTTCAGGTAAGATGATCCAAGTGAAATAGAGCAGAGAGATTAAATGAGAGAATGATACAATGGATGTGATTAGGTGATATGATTGAAGAAAGAAAAAGGAACCAGCCGGGGAATTAAAGAAAATGAACACAGACATATAGAAACATCCTACAGAGGACACAGAAAAAGTGAAACGATTTGATAGCAACCTACACAAAGGACTAAAGAAAATGAAAATACAGAATATACTTCTGAAAAGAAAAAGCAGGGAGGCCAATAATTGATTTTTAGGAAGACAGCAGAGATAGCAGAAAGTGGCACAGGGTGATCCCAGGAGACGGAAATCACAGGAAATGGTGAAAGAGCAGTTCAGGCATGCTTGTAAATTTGGCCATCAGTGTTGTAGGTAACCTCCTGAATGTGTTAAATATCAGATTCAAAGTTCAGTACCTTGGCTTTATCTCTCATTGATCCTTTGCCCAGGATAGACATTTTAGCACCTGTTTCTTCCTGTAGCCTCTTCAAGGAGTTTCCTCTTGGTCCAAGCAATTTCCCCACAAAATTGAACTAGGAAACAAAATCAATAGAATGTCTGTTTTAAGGTACGATAAAGTGATTATTTGCAGCAAGAATAATTGATGGGTTATAGGTTTTTCAAACTTTACCACTGAGAAGAGAGTCATGCCATAAACACACACACACACACACACCCCCCCCAAACCATTTCAGATATCTAATCTAACACTCATTTTAAAAGCTATATCTCTTCCTAAAACAATGCCTAAGTCAAAAGTATGTTGAAAATATCATTTACATATATAATCTAATGAATCATTTATTAAGGAAAGAAATTAAGGAGAATCATGCTGGTTTACAGAATTTCTAAAGGCTTCTTCTCTCAAATTATATTATTGAAATAAGAGATGATTTTAACATAAGTCTATAAACCTGCAAAATTGTAAAAGTTTGCAATCGATATTTTAAAATTGATATTTAAATTGATATCTAAAATAAAATTTGATATTCAAGTTTGTTAGGCATTGTCTGGTGGAAGCCATGCTGGGGAGACAATGACAAATTTAAATCTTAAAGAATGTGTGAGACTATAAGAACGCACAATATGAAATTTATAATATAAGAGCATGAAGTATTTGGGAAATTCATAACGAAAACAATATTAAAGAATAGATGAAAGTACAGGCATAGATTATTATGTGTCATTTTCTCCTCCTATATAAAGAAAATCTAAACTTGTGGCAGAGACAAAAGCTTATCTCATGTCTAGATGCTGGTGCGCTCACCTCTTAAATACTTACAATATTTAAGTGTCGTCAGAGATATCTAGAGGCAGGAGGGTTGGCAAGAATGTAGTTGTTGCTGAAATTGTACACAGTATAGAGTAATCAAAAGTTATCCCAAAGAAAGGGCTAGTAAAAATCATTCCTTCTGTGACTTTCTATAGTTGACTATTGAACCATTCTGAGAAAGCGCCTAAATAGAGTTTTGCCCAGACTCCCAATGTAGACTTATTACAGTAAAGATACTTTATGTATGATATATTCACCAGTTCAGTGACATTTCACCCTATAAATTTCCTCATTTAATATGTCTCATTAACGCAGATACAGGACTCCTGAGCAATTTTCTAAGGATTCTTGTAGTCAAAAATAAATATTTGAACATTTCATTCTCTGTAATAACATTACCAAGTCATAAGAGTGTGGCCTGGTCAAATGATATTACCAAACACATCCAGCCTTTCCCAGTGAATTCTCAAAGATCCTTTTGGAATAAATCTCTACAAATTGTCATTTCTCCCAAACACTGAATTCTAACACCGAGAAAATTGCTAACACTTTATAAAATAAGAAATAATGTAGTTCAGATGTGAAATAAATCATTTCAAACATCAAATTTGATATATCTCTTAGCTTATTGTTCTTTTGGGGGTCAGGTGAGTTGTTTAATATCATTGAAACATTTCAAGAAATAAGCAGGATTCTTTTAGATTTGCAGATAAGTATTTGAAATTGCTTCAGGTAAGATGATCCAAGTGAAATAGAGCAGAGAGATTAAATGAGAGAATGATACAATGGATGTGATTAGGTGATATGATTGAAGAAAGAAAAAGGAACCAGCCGGGGAATTAAAGAAAATGAACACAGACATATAGAAACATCCTACAGAGGACACAGAAAAAGTGAAACGATTTGATAGCAACCTACACAAAGGACTAAAGAAAATGAAAATACAGAATATACTTCTGAAAAGAAAAAGCAGGGAGGCCAATAATTGATTTTTAGGAAGACAGCAGAGATAGCAGAAAGTGGCACAGGGTGATCCCAGGAGACGGAAATCACAGGAAATGGTGAAAGAGCAGTTCAGGCATGCTTGTAAATTTGGCCATCAGTGTTGTAGGTAACCTCCTGAATGTGTTAAATATCAGATTCAAAGTTCAGTACCTTGGCTTTATCTCTCATTGATCCTTTGCCCAGGATAGACATTTTAGCACCTGTTTCTTCCTGTAGCCTCTTCAAGGAGTTTCCTCTTGGTCCAAGCAATTTCCCCACAAAATTGAACTAGGAAACAAAATCAATAGAATGTCTGTTTTAAGGTACGATAAAGTGATTATTTGCAGCAAGAATAATTGATGGGTTATAGGTTTTTCAAACTTTACCACTGAGAAGAGAGTCATGCCATAAACACACACACACACACACACCCCCCCCAAACCATTTCAGATATCTAATCTAACACTCATTTTAAAAGCTATATCTCTTCCTAAAACAATGCCTAAGTCAAAAGTATGTTGAAAATATCATTTACATATATAATCTAATGAATCATTTATTAAGGAAAGAAATTAAGGAGAATCATGCTGGTTTACAGAATTTCTAAAGGCTTCTTCTCTCAAATTATATTATTGAAATAAGAGATGATTTTAACATAAGTCTATAAACCTGCAAAATTGTAAAAGTTTGCAATCGATATTTTAAAATTGATATTTAAATTGATATCTAAAATAAAATTTTATATTCAAGTTTGTTAGGCATTGTCTGGTGTCCATAACTTTCTATTACAACTTTCATAATCAGGAATAAAGGGACTCAATTATTCTTCAATCTTACATTGTCTCTATTAAAGAGTTGTTTTAGGATTAGTAAATAAAATATGTGAGCATATAAAAGTTTAAAAACAGTACTTATAAAGCATATATACAAAACACTTTGTCTAAATGAAAAATTCTGGGGTTCCACACAATTTGCTTAATCATCTTGAAACATGAATAAGAGCAAGTGAACTAAGAGCAGTTATGAAAGCATTTATGTTAGCTACTAAAGGAACATTACCAAACTGAATGACCAAGGTAATAATTTGTGCTATAATTCGTTGAATAAATTAAAAAATACAAAGAACATAGAATGCACCAAAAACTATCTTGGGAACACAAAGAACAATGATAAGCATGACTAAGTAAAATTGCTTTTTATATCAGATTTTTCCCTCCCTCCCTCTCTCTCTCTCTCTCTCTCTTTTTCTTTCTTTCTTTTCTTTCTTTCTTTCCTTTCTTCCTTTCTTTCTTTCACCATAATCCCTCAGTAAGAAATACACCACAGTTAATGATATAAAACTCAGAATTTTTTTCCCAAGTCCAGGATAAAAAGACAGATATCTGTTCTTACCACATTTATTCAATTTTGTCCTGGCGTATGGATTGTTGTATGTATAGGTAAATAGACATGGGATAGTATAATGCCCAAAAAGACTATACATAGGTGGTTGATTTATTTTCAGCAAAAGTGCCAAAGCAACCAAATTTGAAAAGTAAAGTGTTTTCAACAAATGGTACTGAAACAATTAAATATCTGTATGAAAAAGAAGGAAAACAAAAACACAACCTTTCACAACCTCTTTCACACTTAGGCAAATCTTATTTGAGATTGATCATAGAACTATATGTGACAACTAAAATTATAAAGATTCTAAGAAGAAAGCATTAGAAAAACCTTTGTGAACCTAGGCTAGGAAGAGATTACTTAACGAAGAAGCAAAGAACACTAAAAAAAAAAAAAAAAATCCCTAATGACTAATGATGATGAGCTTTTTTTCATATGTTTGTTGGTCACATAAATGTCATCTTTTAAGAAGTGTCTGCTCATATACTTCACCCATTTTTTGATGATATTTCTTTTTTCTTGTAAATTTGTCTTTTATATTCCTTGTAGATTCTGGATATTAGAACTTTGTCAGACAGGTAGATTGCAAAAATGTTCTCTCGTTCTGTAGGTTGCCTGTTCACTCTGATGATAGT